GTTGCTTTCAACACTTCACTGTTCTCCATATTCAGATGCACTCTCTTCACCTTCGAAAAGTTCTTGCCCTCACTCACCAATAAGGAAGAAATGTTTTGGACCGTTCATATCAATTTAAAAATCCTCTATGTTGTCGGTTGTTTAAAACTAGTAAGGGGTGTTTGGATTAGTTATTAGTTTTTTATTTGTGGTGTGATCGAACAATAAGTAATAGGAGGGTGTTTGGAAGTGCTTTTTAAAAAAAATGTTTTTAGATAAAAGTGTTTATTTGCTTATAGTGGTGGTAAAAAATGTTTTTTAAAAAGTGTTTGGATAAGTTTTTACAGTGAAAAAGCCAATAAGTCAATAAGTTAAAAAGTGTTTGGTTTAAAAAATGCTTTTTGAAGTTAGTTTGGCCGAAAAGCATAAGCAGTTTCAAAAAACCACGTTTTCCATGCTTATTAAAAAATACTTATTGAAAGCTTATGGAAAAGCCATTTTGAAAAGTGTTGAGTTTGCCAAACACTTTTTTTGGTTTATTAGCTTTTCAAAAAACTAATAAGCAAATAAGCACTTTTAAACCACAATCCCAAACACCCCCCAAGTATGGAGAGAAATGCTTATTATAAACTGATTTTTAAAGATTTTATCCAAACACTTAAAGTTATCTTATTGTGGTAGGAATAAACAATAATCATCCTTTTTTTTTCCTATCCAAACACCCCTTAAATTACACGGTTGCATCTCAATTTACATACTAACTATTTATAATTAGTTTTTTTTTTCTAAAAAAAAAAATAAAATTTCAACCAATAAAAATATTAAAAAAAAAAAAACTAAATAGAATGTCTATTAAGAATAGACATTTGGACTCACATACCGGGCTAGACCGGTGAACCGGACATGGACTGGGACCTTTTTTGGACCTCGGACCAGTTCTCGGTTCTAGGATTTTATTAAAATCGGTCCGGTCCGGTCGGTTCTAGGTAAAAACTGATTTTGAATTTGATTTAAACTTTTGCATTCTGTGAAATTTTTTAAACAAGCATATCTAAATCTTATTTGGTCCAGTCTAATCCGAACCCAGATCGGGACCCAGTAAGTCTTATCCGGTCCGGTCCAATCCAAAATCCGGTCCGGTCAATCCAAATGTTCGCATTATTCTATATGATAAATTAGATATTTTTTAGTCGATCTCTAAAATATATGTATAACAATTATTTTTTTAAAATTAATTCGCACATTTCTTTTATATCGATAAATTCATATGTTTCATCTTTGTAAAGATGAAATGACTATATTGCCATTTTTAGTTTTTTTAGATTTATTTTTATTTTTTTCTTGTTTTTTTATTGAAATAAATGTTCTTCAATATGCGGATGATCCTAGACCTCTCTTATGCATTATATCCCGTCATTTTATGGTAATTTTAGATTAAATTTTATTTTATTAAATTTCATATAATATTTAAATATAATAAATGTATACTAAATTCATAGATATTTTTTTTATTAATCTCATATGGATCTACAACTAATAAAATAATAATTTGAGTTAAAACCATTAAAATTTACCAAGAAGACACCATATTTTACCATTTAGACAACCCTAATTAATGTTTGAAATATTTTTATTGGTTAAAATTGCATTGTTTAAAAAAAAAAAATGATTAGATTATATTTTAACTTTTTATAAAAATGATTAGGTGTCGAGAACTTTATAGAATTTCTAAATTACTCTCGCCATTGAACCTGAAGTAGTTGTTAGCCTAGGTCACCGTAGTCCAAAGAATCGAAGTTTGGTATGTATGATGAGGCAGTTTACTTGAATTCAGTATAGTTCATGATGGGCTAGGCAATTTGAGGGTTTAGTTAGGGTTTAGAGGACAGAGGCACAGAGCCTTGCCAATGAAGAAGGCTGCTTTTGTTCTTCGTCGAAATGGTAAGTTGCTTCCTGGTTACCTCTGTTTCCCGGTTTTCTTGTTTCAAAATAATATTCTTGCTGCTTTTATAAATCCTCAAATTCAATTTCCCTCTCGAAAATTAATTCTTAACGAAAGCTGTGAGCTGAGAGATTCGTTGCTTCCGTTTAATCGGATAGTTGAGACTCCATCTATTGCCCCAATTGATCAATTTAATCATATTCATGCCAATCGTAACATTTCTCAAGCAATTTTAGGGTTTCAAGCTGATGTAGTAACTCTCCGGATGATAAACAGGCTCTGCATGTCAGGCGACGCCCGACCTGCTCTTCCTACACACAGGGAGATGGAAAAAAGCAAACCCTGTAATCCAAGCACAACCCATTACAATAACATCATCAATGGGCTTTGTAAAAGCAGACGTGTTACTGAAGCTGTGGATATCTATTTCGAAATGAGAGATAAAGGTATTCAACCGGATATTGTCACATTCAATTGTTTAATTCAAGGTTTATGCAATTTAGGTTTAAGGGAAGAGGCACAAGGTTTCTTCGATGAAATGGTAATTCAAAGCATCTCACCAAACGTGGTGACCTTTAACATTTTAGCTCATTCATTCTGTAAAGATGGCAAGATTGAGGAAGCACATAATACGCTCAATCACATGATATCATATCAGTGTATCCCTGATGTTATCAGCTATAACATTTTAATTAACTGTTACTGCAAGAGCAAAAAGATAGATCAAGCCTTGAGCCTCTTCATGGAAATGTCTGAAAAGAGAATAGCTCCTGATATTATAACCTACACCACTCTCATTAATGGTTTGTGTCAAGCTGGTAGACTTGAGGATGCACTTTTACGTTTTGATGAAATACAAGATTCTGGTCTGGTTCCAGATGTTGTTACTTACTCAATTCTGTTAAACTTTTTGTTTAAAAATGGCAAATTTAATGAGGCAATAGCGTTTGAAAGAGCTATGGAAGAGATTAGAGTTGCCCCTAATATTCTTCTATACAATATCCTCATTGATGGTATGTGCAAAGCAGGAAGAGTTGATGTTGGTGAGGAACTATTTAGGAAACTCCCTACTTTTGGGTTTCATCCTGGTTTTTATACATATAATATCCTGATTAATGCATACTGCAAGAGCAAAATGATAGGTGAAGCTTTGAGTCTGAAGAATGAAATGTATGAAAAGGAAGTTACTCCAACTATTGTGACCTACAACACTCTCATCAATGGCTTGTGTCATGTTGGGAGACTCAAGGATGCACTATCTCTTTTTGATGACATCAAACATCATAACCTAGTTCCAAATATTGTTACTTATTCCACTCTGATAGATTCTTTGTTTAAAAATGAGAAGTTTAACAAGGCCATTGAACTATACAAAATAATGAAAGATGATGGATTGGTTCCTAATATTGTTCTGTATAACATTCTCATTGATGGAATGTGCAAAGCTGGGAAAGTTGATGAGGGTGAGGGGCTTTTTCGGGATCTTTCTTCAAGAGGGTTGCAGCCTAATATTCGTACTTATAATATTTTGATGAATGGATTATTTAAGAATGGGAAACTTAAGGATGCATATCAGTTGTTGCAAGAAATGATGATTGAAGGATGCATGCCAGATGGTTTTACTTTTAATATAATAATTCAGGGGTATATTCAATGGAATGAAACAAGAATGGCTGTTCAATTTGTGAGAAGAATGGTTGATGCTGGTTTTTCTGCAGATGCACACACATCAATAAACCTAGTCGACTTGTTGAACAAAAGAAACTTGGATAATGCATCAAAGGAGGTGCTTAAAAAGTTTTTTCGACTTACATCGACAAATAAAGTAAATTAAATCTTGTAAAAATGACCTACATGCAGAAAAAAATGGTGTAAGCAGAAATGGTGTATGGCCTTATGAAAGAAGAGATCTTGTTGGGAAGCTGTTTTCATGTCTTCCATGGGGACACAAGGCTAAGGAAGACCAAGCATGTCTGTATGGCTTGCTGTAAGCAGAAAAACCCTGCAAAGTCTGTTTACATTGCTGCCTTTTGTCATTTGAAAAGCTTTGAGGTATTTTGATTGTTAATCACTTAATCATGTGCAGGTTAATCGAGAAAGAAAGATTTTTCCAAGATTGTCTAGATGCCACATTTCATGAAAATTCATCTAACCAGGTACATGTGCTTCTGAGTTGTCTTATTTGTCTTAATCAGTTAATTTCTGAGTTGTTCAATTCTGTTTTGAATTTTTGATGCATTAGGTGGAAGGAAGATCTTTCCAGTAGAATGGGAATTGATGCTTGTGAAGCTTAATGTCAATCAAACCACAAGATCTGAGGTTTTATTTTCTCTACTTGAATCATTTTTCTGACTTTTGTATATGTTATTTCTTTCTATCTTGTTACTTGATTAGATAATCAAGATTAATACACAGTTAATCTTTGCACTTCCTTGTAGTAATAGTGTGATAGCTTCTCAATGAGTCAAGTTCTTGACGCCCATTGAGGGTGATATATGGAGAAGATGTAAGATATCAATTTCTCATCTTTTTATTGATTCTTTAAGCATATAATTTATGGGCTATAACTGAGATCTGACTCGTGACACCCAATTTAATAATGCAGTCAACTAACTGTTGGAGTTTTCAACCTAGTGAATGGGAGTTATGTCCAGAAGGTGTTACAACATCCAAGTTTTTTCACATGATTTATTAAGGATCCTCTCTTCCCCACTAATAAACCTAAAGCTTCTTCATGTTGTATTTGTATGTTGTAAGGCTTAGTTGATATCAATGCATTATACCCAGAATTCCTTCCTTTGAAAATTACAAAGGAAAACCTTACCTAAAGACTTTTACCATTTGGCTTATGTTGTTGTTGATTAAATTACAAGTTTTTATGTTTCTTTTTTATTTCCGCTGAAGCAAATTCCAAAGAAGGAACAAATTGAATAGACTTGATGCAAAATCAATGTTGTTTGAAGGTTGATAAATGTCATTACAATTGTACAAACATGGTGCTTGCAAAAAAGCAACCAATATAACTCAGAATTCGTCACATGTTTGGTATTAATCATAATAATATGAGTCTTCTAAAAGCTTATATACAACTTACCAATACACAATTTGCATGATTGCATCCTACAACAAAAGAAAGAAACTAAAAATAAAGAATAAGAAAAGATAATAAATATATATATATATCTAGTTGCCGCTTATAGGTTCCTGGTGGAATTGATCAAGTTTAATCTTAGAATGTCTGGTTTTTTAAAATATTGAAACGAGAAAAAAAAATTACTAATCAAAACCTTTTGAGAATAACAAAGACAAATTTGGTAAAGCCAACTAGTATCCGTGACAAATCTAATCTATTTGTACTTTGTAGTACAATGTTTATAATTTATGGATGTTGCAACAGTGTAATTCCTGTGCACTACATCTACATGTATAATATGATGACATTCAATCTAGTTGTATAGACCTTCTTCGATCCAGATGTCAACTAAAAGATCCACCACATCCTGCAAAAAACCAACAGTCACATATGAAACACACAATTATGGGAAGATCCATAACACCAACAACTTACAGCTAATGGAATCGGCTCAGGGAATGTTTCACCAGATGAGAGCAAATCTTCAAAACTTGTAGTCCAACTGTAACAGAAGACCATAGAGAAAGACAAATTTTCAAGAAATTTTCTTATTTTTCACTTGTATAAAAATGGGATCTTGAAAGTTGAAAGTCAAACCTGAGAATGGGCTGTCTAAACTTGGTATGTGATGTTTGAGATCCATCACCAACCCAAGCTCTTCTCATCTCATGCCAAGCCAATTCTGCTGCAGAAAAAAAAAAAAAAGAAAAAAAAAAGTGGATTTTTGTGATGATCAATGCTGCTTAAAATGATTGTATCACGTCATCTTTATACACTTATGATTGTTAGATAAGTAAATTTGTTGTACAATGTACTACTACTACACATAGATTCTACATATTAATGTGGCTTAGTGAACAGAAGATGAAAATAGAGTGATTAAAGGACGAACCATGGTTAACGAATAGAGGATTTGAGACATCCCTTTTCGTGGACTTTCTTTCTTCATTCACAATTTTAGAACCCTTCGAATTTGGGTTACCATTATTGAGAGAATTGCTTCCATCAATGTCCATCTTTGATTATCAAAAGGGACACACTAACGATCTGTATTGATGGCAGATAAAGAAAGCAAGAGTGAGAAAATTATGCACAATCTTGTTGGAAACTCACTTGCAACTTGAATTTATGATTTTTTACTAATAAACAAAGTGAATATGATTAAATAGAGAAACAAATGTGGCTCGTTTACCATTGTTAAAAACTTAAAATCTCCTTTTCACAATGTCCAATTAGGGTATGTTAATGGCATTCTAAACAGCAAGGCAGTATTCTTCTGGTCAGTTTCGGACACCATTCACAACAAACCGAATCACCAACAATAGTAAAGAAATTGGTAACTCTAAAATCATAAACTACCCTACTTACATCTCAAATTTTCCATTCAGTAACGAACACCCCTTATCAATTACTACAATCATTCCAGAAATAGTCAAAGTTTGAGGTTTGAAGGTCAAATTAGGTCTTTAACTTTAAATTCGATAATCATATCCAACTGTGCAAAAGTTACTAGAATCGAAGTATTATGGACATAAGAAACTAAAGAAGTATAGGCCAAATTAGAGTTCCAAATGTTGTGCGTTTGAATATCTAAAAATCAGATCGAAAATCGGCAATTCCTGCGAGCCGGAGAGTGCTTAATAGTGGATCTTTAATGTTTATTGGGCGTTATTAGTAATGTTAACTAGGTTACAGAAAACGTACTGATGTTTCTCGATTAATATGTGGCGCATAAATATAAGCAGCATCTGGAAATTGGAATTCATAGATATTGAATCTTTACCTCTCGTTCAATCTTCAATAGGGGAGGGATTGCTTCGATTGGGTTGATTTGTTCTAATTAGAAATGGATGAAAAGGATTCAAACTATCCGTCTCCCTCTGGATTAGTAGGGGTTTGTGGAGTTCATCATTTCCACTCATGTTCGGAAGCCATTGAAAAGTAATACATTGCAAGTCGAGTCACGAGTGGATATTGAAAAATAATGCTCCATTGTGGGTTCTTGTCATTAAAAATAAGGGTCAACTGAAATTGTCATTAACGTAATTATAGGCCAACAATGTTTAAATTGTCATTAAGGTTATTATCATTATAGCCCAACAATATTTAAATGATCCCTTGCGATTTTTTATTTTTTTGCCTTTTAGGGATACATACTTGTGTTTTACCGTCCTAAAATGTCATTATCAAAATATGAAGGGGTCACCCGGTGAACTCTTTTCTAATCATCAGTTTTTATATGTCACGTGGATTTGATCAACTGAAATTGTCAACAAACCCTAACCCCTTCCTAATCACCTCCTTTTGCAGACAGAGCTCCATTACTTTTCGGTGCTCTACATCCCCGGTACCTACATCCAAAACGAAGAGAGAGAGAATCATATGTCGACTGCTTCTTCATCTTGTGACACAATGTCGGAAACGGCGCCGTTAAGTGTTGCACTCGTTGCGCATCGGAGAAGACTTTACAATGGAGAACAACTATGTGTGGTCCGAAGACGTTATGCAACGCCTGCGGTGTGAGACTCACATCAGGTCGGTTGGTTTCAGAGTATCGTCCGGTGGCATACCGGTGGTGTTAATGTCCCATTATTATTTGACGGTGCTCTGGTACTCTTACTCCTTGATATGTTGTGAAGCGACGTGTTCTATGATCGGAAGTTTATAGTTCTGGCTATGAGATTAAGCTTCATAACGATGCACCTGGATATAATCCCCAAAATAAAACTCAAGACGAAAGCACGAGATGTAAGTTGGTTCTGCCATGGCGAAACCTTCCAACTCTCGAATAACCTCTCAATAGACTCCAACTTCATCTCCTCCATGTTTCACTTCTCCTCATTTTCCGTTTCTGTAAATCATCTTCCCGTTAAATGTTTGAAGAATTCCGTTCCATCGTCATAATTGATTGTTAGTTATGATTCTGAAATTGATGACTCAAGAGATGAAATCGAAGTCCTGAAGTGTGAAGTTCAGGGCTAATTAATAGTTTTGATGTTCTGAATCTATGTTTTGTTACTGGGGGCATTTGAATCGGTGGAAAGGGAACAAGATTGTTCGTTATATTGCCAGTGATTTGCAGACAAAAGAAAAAATGTGGGAGATAGGGGTCATTAATTTCAGGGTTGGATCTGAGCTATTGTTGAATAAGAACTCATCTTCAAGAACACTTCAATGTAACTTTAATTTATGTGTAGATTTGGTTTAAGAAATTCCAAACATCAACTGTTAAAGAAGGTGAAACTTCTTCTATTGATGGAGGTGGGGTAGATTAATATAATAAACTTTGAGTCGGCAGTTGACTAAATGAACGTAATAACTTTTGGCTTACATAGCAACGGTGAGTAGACTCACCACTAACTTATTGTTGACTCACCTGTTTAGTTGACAATTGACAAGGCAATGCAACAATTAAAAATAGGTAAAGATATGAAATTAACCGGTAAAACATAAGTTTTTACCCTTCAAAGGCAAAAAAAAAAATCACAAAAGATAAATGTTAGAGTGACAATAACCTTAAAAATAATTACTATTTCAATATTCTCTATTCATTATCTATATTTTTAAATGGTATAGTTATATTCTCATAACAATATTCGTGAAAAATTAATACAAAACACTTGAATAATACATTAATACAGTATTTGTTAAACCATTATTTGCAATTACTTCATACTTGCAGACCGATCTCAAAACTAAACAAATGTTTTACGTAAAATAGTTGTTAAGGCTGTACTAACTATTTAATCATACACATCACCAAATAAATTTCAACTCCTAGAGGGGTGCTGTAAAACTCATATAGTCATATAGTACTAAAATATTTAAAGAAATTTTTTTTTCTAGACATAAGGATTAATATTTAATAGAAGCAATCGATAACAAACCGACCTTAGCTCAGTTGGTAGAGCGGAGGACTGTAGTGGAAAACATACGACTGAAATCCTTAGGTCGCTGGTTCGAATCCGGCAGGTCGGATTTTTTTTTTCTTTTCTTAATTTATTTTATTTTACTTGGCTTTTCTGATTGTTTAATTTTAAAAAATTGATTTTCATTATTCTTATTGTAGATTTATTGTAGATGTATGATTGACGATTGGTTGGACTTGTCCATCAACCATTCAGTAGTACCATCTTCCGTGTATCTTTCGCTGCACATCAAACTTCCACAAGTTTCAAGTTCCGGCCTTTAGCTATGCTAATTTTCATTTCTAGCCATCCCTCTATTTTTCAGCACTTGCCTTAACTGGAACCCAAACAATTAACAACTAACAAGCATTAACCAAACCAACTTTGTCAAACTCAACCTACCCTTCGTTGTCAATAGAATGTTGTATTTTTATGTGTAATATGCTATTTATAGGTAAAAAAAACTTCAGTGGATCAGAGATAACTCTCTAAAAATATTCAAAAACTAGATATATATCTTATTTATGAGGATCAAAAATCCTTTATAGTTTATATACACAAAATTGGTGGCTTAGACTCTTCTAAAGAACCATAACTCTATTAGACCCAACAAATGTGTGGCTTCGTGTCGAGACAGTAAATGGCTTGAGATAGTTTGATCATAACCCAACTCTTTTAATTATCTTGTAAAGTCGTGTCAATCATTTTATCTTCGTATAGTGTTTTATATTTGCGTTAGGCATCTGAATGTGTCTGTCATGTAAGGTTGATTCACTAAACATGTTGAAATAGTAAGAGTTTGGTAGGCAGAAAAAAAAAATAGTAGTTGGGAAGCGAAATAGCTAGATTCATAGTATAGAGTAAAAAGTGGAACTAGTAGGAGTTAGGGAGGCGGAGGGACGGGACCATGAGGAGAAGAGAGTGATTGAATGGATTGTATAGTTTGGAAGAGAACGAAAACACTGAAAATTAAGTCTTGACCTAAGCAACAACTAAGTCGCTTCCACGTTACAAAATGATTCAACCAAAGTCTTTCTTTTACATATGGTTTTGGTTTTGGGTGTTTATAGTTTATCTATAAAAAAAAATAAAAAAATAAAAAAAAAACAAAAAATACATCTAAATAAACGAATTCATTTTAGGTCATATTTGAATTGAAATCCTCAACCCTAATCTTATTTGTTTATTTTTGGTGTCGTATCAATCTCTTTAATCAAATTGATTGAAATATCTCTACAATGCTCGTTTATTTTGTATTGGGTTAACGTTTCATATCAGTTTATGGATATAGTATTCAAGCCGCATTTGTTTTGGACCAATCCTAAAATATCCAGCCAAGTCCGGATCGTCCATGTGTTCGAAGTAGAGAATGGAAAAGTTAGAAGTGATTGTCATGTGATTATGTGATTACTGACCCTTGTTAATTGATAGACACATGATAACATTTATCTTTCTTAATGCTTGAGATGAAATCTTTTAAATTGTTTAGGCACAATCGAATTTTGTTTTGTCTTTGGTCGTCAGTTTTTTTATGCAATTGGTCATTAATGTTAAACTATTTCATATCAATCCCACTATTTTTAGACATGTGCATGGCGGAACACAAACAATAACACTAGAGGGGTCGAAACTTAAACTTCACACAAATTATATAAAGAAAATTAACCTATGATTACCATATTTTCATTTTAATATAAATTACATGAAAAAAATTAACAAACATTAAATAAAAATAATAATACATTGATTTTTTAAAAAAAAAACTGATATTTTGATAAAAATAAAAAAATAAAATAAAAAACTAATAATCTATAATTTCTTTACCACTCCAAAGTTAATGTCTTTTATATATTAAAATTTGGTCCATTGAATCTTTAAAAACTAATTTAAGATTGTATCTATTTTATAAAGCTTGAAAATTAATCGTCTGTTCAAAACTAAATAGATTTTGAAATTAAGAATTATTTGTAAATTGTAATATATCTACAAACGTAGATAACACTATTTGTTATTATTATTAATCTGTACTTTTATAGCTATGATAGAGGCTACAAGCTTACATATACACAGTTAGATTACTTGTTTCAAAGTTTTTACTGCATTACTAAGTCACGTCATATTAATATTCATATATACAATTTTTTTTTTTTGAACTGGGTTCATATATACAAATGAGATCTATTAGGTTTGAGCAACTGAAAGAGAAATAGAGATGATGCGTACCTCATTCCGACGGAGAGGAGAGCACGAACAATAGAAGCAAAACTTCTGTTGGCATTTGGCTCCAACAACTCGGCGATGATAAAGGACAAGAAGTAGGTGGAGAAGACATAACTAACCTGGCGAGGAGAGAGCAAAAGGCCTGATAAGTTGCATTGCGGTGGTCCGACGGAAGAGTTATGTTTTCAAATGAAAATCTAGCCTGAATATTCTGATTTCAGTCGGATTAAAAGCTCCAGTTAGTTGCATGCGGTGGTGATAACATTTATGATTTTCTTTTGTTTTGAAGATTGGAGTCTGTAATTATGTTTTTTGGTATTTGTATAGAGTTATTACTTAGTTTCCAATGTTAATTTTGTGTTCGATCTGATAAGATTCATTATTCCTACTTAAATTATGTTTCCTTTGATAAGATATTATTTAAATTAGTTTTTGATTTGCTTAACTTTTCTCTAGACAACGATAGTTATGATTTTTTTTTAATTAGAGAACATAATTACTTGTTTTTAGTAGATAAAAATCTAGAGGGGCCAATTAGTTTTGATTTTCACATAATTAGTATATGATTATTAATTTCATAAATTCTAATATTAACCGGCTACAAAAGCTGGGGGCCGTGGCCTCCCCCAACCCCTTCTGTGTTCCGCCACTGTGACAGGATTTAACCGGTTTCTTGGCTACCTTGGTATTTAAATAAATTAGAAAAGAAAAAGGGAAGACCGCGTAAGTAATTCTAAGTAATCCACCTATCACAAAATGTGATGTCCCTTGTTTAAATGGTTGTCTTCTGTGTTCTTGTTCCATTAAACAAAGAGCAGGAGAATAACTAAGGTTGCGTTTAGTTACGGAAAAACAATTTTGATTTTCCGTATTTTGTTTTCCCTTTTCGATTTTCATTTTCCGTTTTCATTTTTCATTGAAAATTTTTGAAAACGCGTTTAGTTAAACTTATTCATTTTTCATTTTCAGTTTTAGAAAATTAGAAAACGTGTTTAGATGTGTATTTTTCTATCGGTTTTCATTTTTAGAAAACGGTAGTGGTGGTAGGGTGTGGGTGGGGGCGGTGACAGTAGCGGATCGACGGCGACGGTGGTGATGACAGGCGATGGTGGTGGCGACGGCAATTGTGTCAGTGGTGGTGATGGTGGCGGCAGCGATGGTGGTGGTGCTAGTGACGGGTTAGTGGTGGTGGTAGGTCGGTGATTGTCATGGTGGTGTTGGATGGGTGGGGGTGCGAGTGTGTGTTTGTGGGGGTAGGTGTAGGTTTGTGTGTGTGGGTGGGGGGGGGGTGGTGGTGGTGGTGGATGTGTGTGTGGGTGGGTGGGTGGGTATGTATGTGTGTATCTTTGTGGGTGGGTTTGTGTGTGGGTTGGTGTGTGTGTGCAGGTGTGTGTGTGTGTGGGTGGGTATGTATGTGTGTGTTTGTGGGTGGGTGTGTGTGTGTGTGTGGGTGGATATGTATGTGTATGTGTGTGGATTGGTGTTTGTGTGTGTGTGTGTGCGGGTTGGTGTGTGTGTGGGTATGTATGTGTGTGTTTGTGGGTGTGGGTGTGTGTGTGTGTGTGTGGTGGTGGGGGGGGGGGTATGTATGTGTATGTGTGTAAGTTGGTGTGTGTGTGTGGGGGTATGTATGGGTAT